ATGGCTTGGACCCTACTGATGTCCAAGATGACATCTCTATATGACCTGACCTGATGACGACTGAGACTCACCCTCAGGGGACCTGAGGACCTGAGGATCTGAGGACCTGAGAGAGAAAAACTGGGGAGTGATGTTTATATTATTGAAATCATACCATTGATGAGTGCTAAATGAGAGAGATACTCATGATTTTTTCTTTTGTTTTTGTTTGTCCCTAGCTTCTGGACATCTGATGATCTATTGGACACAGCCATTTGCAGAACAAGAACCAGCCAATGAAAACATCTATTGCCGATGCTATTGCTACAACCACAACTGTGACAAATGCAATATACATGTTAAGTATTCAGACATCTGACAGACAAAAACTTTGAAAATGATAAAGTATAAGTATTGTAGCGTTTTAGTAGATGTTAAATAGTAGTAAAAGAGTAGAATTTGACTTTCTTTTTTGTTCATAAACACATTTCCACATAAGAGTTAAAATAGTACCCTACAATGTTATCCTTTTGATATATCAGCTAAAATACTAGAATCAGAATAATGTTACAGCCATTAAAAGTGACAGAAGTCACAAATTAGGAATATGCCTTTGCTCAAACTGCAGCCAAACTTTGGAGTCACAATAGTGTAAAAATAGAGATAGATAAATGCATCAACCATAGATGCTTTCAAAAATAGAGAATATTCTTAGCCAGTGCTAATATCAAATGGTAAAGGGACCATTTCACAAGCATTTACTTCAACAGTAGATAAAGTTAATTACAGTTTATGTACAGTTTTATTAGATACTTGCCAAATTCACTTGTGTTCAAACATGAGTGAATGTTGACAATGCAAAAGTCCATATGAGTGTAGTCTAGATTAATGCCTAGATTAATGAGATAGATTACAACCAACAGAGATTCAAAAGCATTTAAAAGCATTTTGATGCATTTGGGTGTAGCCCAAAAACAAAATAGTAGATATTTAGATATTGAGAAGTTTCCAGCACAAACACCATTGTAGAATAACTGACCCCAAACCTGCTAAAATAGATTAGCTCTTGTAAGGATAATACTAATTTGATTAATGATGTTCATTCATCCCAAACTGCCTGACAATAATATCTTTAGATAATAAAAAGTAATAAATCACTGACCACTATAGAAGTGTAAATGTTGACCATTTGCCTTACTGTGTTCACAGTTTTATTCCTGAGAATGAGAATAGACATAGAGCAAAATCCCACTAACAATAAGCCACTGATAATGAGAGTATAATACAGTATAGAGAGATTTATTAGAATAAAATGTATGTTTAAGAATATGGCTCAATATAAGCAAATATGCAAACATATTTGTAAATAGATTAGAATAGTTTTAAACTATAGTGAATAGTAAAAGTAAAGTACACAGTCTAAGATTGAAAAGTGAAAATAATACAGTGAAATAAGATTGAGTCTAGTGTAAACAATTATCATTAGAATAAAAGTATAGAGTAATAAAAGTTAAATTAGCTTCTAATTTGAGACTCAGCTCGTTTTTTGTCTGTGTTTTGACTGAATCTGCTGAGTTCTTGTGTGTTTTTGTTTGTTTTTATTTTTGATTGTTTTTGTTTGTTTGTTTATTTACTTTATTTTTGTTTGTTTATTTTTTCCCAGGATAGAGGATAAAATCCACTGATATTGATTTGATGATTATGAGTTTAATGCATACATTTTCTTTGTTTTTTAATAATTTTGTAAAGTTTTTTTTTTTGATTTTTTTTTTCTTTTTCCACTTTATTGATTGATCAAATTGAGTGATCACATGTGATTATGTGATCAAAGACGAGGGTGTTAGTATTAGATAGCAATATGGCCTACGTGCAGGACTGTACAAGGACTCTACAAGGACTCCATGTTATGACTATGATTTGACTGTCTCTTTGTGACACGTATGTCTTTCGATGTGTGACGTGACAATGACTATATAAACTGTGTACTGCCTTTATTCTGTCTGAGAGAAAGAAACAGAGTAAACCAGTGGAACTTGAGAGAAACTTAAATAAACTTCCAGAGTTTGGCACACCACGATCCGTCTCTGTCTGCTAAATCCTAACAATAGGAATAAATGGACCAATGCCACAAGCAAAAAAAGTAGTTGTATTTAAGGTATTTTTACCGGGATCGTTCATAGTAGGGTGGAGTTGTAAATATTCAATTGCAACTTCTGTTATTGTCACAACTGTCTAAGAATGTTTAAGAATATACAGTTTTATCCATTCACTACTGGTTTTCTTGCCCATCTAGAATTGTTCACTCTTGCCCTAGAATTTAAACCGCAAACTATATCAGCAATAACAACACAAGGTCGAACACAAATGGGCTGAACGTGCACATGACAAGTTATTATGAGCATCTTATTTTGGTTGATTATTGCCCATTTTAAATCTAAATTATAGTCACACCAATTAAGACAAAAATATGCACGTTTAAAATCACTAGAAGTAGATCAGATTTGTAGAACTGTTGACATAATCAGGACTTGAGCTGAGTTTAGACCGTTGTGATTTACAGTCTATATTTTTACCCTATACTCATGATGTATTGTTGCGTCCTACAGCCTGAGTCCTAAATCGGATTTGGACTTAACTTGTCTTAACTTTTCCGGACATTGGTTTATCCGCTCCCCATGGACCAATGTCTTCTATACATTTGTTATTATTGCATTTCCTCTGTTCTGATTCTCTGATCTGTTGTTGAGTAAAGTCCTTCGAATTGACTGCTGTTGAAAATTTGGCCTATACCAAAAAGAGATTCTCAAAGTATCCTCTATGATGACTTCTGAGTAGCATCCCTAGTGTTGTGGCAATGTGGCTTCGCAGCAACAATGGCATCGGTTCAATTCCTGTGTCGTCCTGAGCCTTTTCTCTGTTGAATTTCTTTGTATCTTGTTGTGTCTGAGTGAGGTTCCTCCAGGCGCTCCGATTTCCCCTATCCCTTAAAACATGAGCCAGATGTAATATCCTCCAGTGGCACCTCTGGCCTCTGATCGTGCTTAGTCTGACTTTTTGTGAAGAATTAAGTCCAACCTGCTATTTGCAATTCTTGGTGGTTAGATTGCCATTGCCACAAAAGGGCTGAAGTTCAGGCAGGCAGTAAATGGAAACTTGAGCGCGTTGAATATTCTATCAAGATTCCCAATGAGTAAAAACATAACAATATGAGGTGTCACAAGCCATCTGTCAAACCTCATCCACATTGAGAGGTCATAATGTTTAATATGAAAGGTGTTACAGCAATAATGTTAATGATTTTTGTGCAGGTTCCAGATTCTCTTGCATGACTAGACCGGTCTTGACTTTGTCTGATGGACTAAAGACGGCCGGGTGTTCGTGTGTGGACTCTGGGAGGGTTGCTAAGGAAACGGATCTGCAGAAAAAACATTGCAATCTGTTGTAAATGCACTTTTTCCACGAAGATGTGCTAATCCAGCGTTCTCAATGCACAGCAGATGCACTCGCCGACCTGAAGCTATAGACTGGAGACGGCGTGCATCTAAAGCATCCAATGTTTGCTGGTGTCTAATTAAGCTGAAATGACCATGTTGTTTTATTGAATGGGGTAGAAGTCGAGGTAAAAAAAAAGGGGGCAAGGGAAACAATTCAGACCGGTTGACCTATCAGTTTAAGCTCCCCGTTATATGCAGCATACAAAATATGTGTATAGTGATATTTCATTTATTTGAATATTTCAAACCTGTGTGCTCTCATATCACACATAAGAAACAAGCATTTTTAGTGAACTTAAAGATTACTTTCAAAGCAGCTAAATAAATAGGATGCAAAATAAACAGTTAGGATTAGATGGGACTAGTACACATTGTGAGTGTAGGAATGAAGAGAGCACTCAAAACATTTTGGGAAAAATGTGTTTTGTTTAGATATGGCAACAGATGTCAATACTCTTGGGGTAGCTAATTTGTTCCTCATAAATATTCCATTATGGTTTGTTCTAACAAAAAGAGTGAAAGAAATAAATCAGGCAAAACCACATCTCCTGAACGGTAGCTTTGATATTGCAACTATCAATCAATCTGAACCACTATTTAGATTGAAGTCCAAAAAGTTTACAAAAGTGCATATTTTACTAGTATATATTTTACTGATTTTTATGCAAATGTTCTTGTTTTAATTGATATTGATGTTCTTGTATCTACAATTACAGGTTATTTGTTTGAATGGCAGAATAAGAAAAATTTAGAGCACATGAAAAAATGAAAAAAAAAAAAAAAAAAATCATAACAGTGAAAAGGTCCAGGACAACAACAAATAGAAATCAAAGAAATTTATAAGAATTGCAATAAAATGGCTATTATAATGCAGATACAGTATATGAGTATTTTCAGTGAACATAGCATGATAGCACACCAATGCTACGTTATTCTAACCAATGCATTTTACAATCCACAAGGTCCAAAAGGAGGGTCTTGAAAAGTAAAATGTCTTCATCTTAATGGGTGATAAAACATGTTATTCAGACTTCGTGAGTGACTAAGCATCTACAGATGTTACATCTGTTGGCCAAAAAATATTTGAATGACAAGACAGTGACACAATTAAACTGTGCCATAGCTATAGGGAGCTGGTTAGGGTATGTCATTTGAAAGTTAGGTATTCCAGCTTTATTAAAATAATAATAAAGTTCTGATGGATAGCATGTGGTTCTAGTTAATCGCTTTAATGATAATAAACATGTGATTTTATAATTTTGCTTTGAAAGGACACAAACATTTTCAGTAAATCGATCACCTAAGTTATAGTTTTGATTTTTGTCAAATTTGATTCAATATTTGTGACTTAAAGTACAAAAAAAGGCCGATGGAACCGCATACGATATTGTTTTTTCCCTTATGTCTGACGAAAACAACACTAAACAAAAGTGTAAAAAAAGTATAAACAAAAGGGGTCTTGGTCTAGTTTGGGTATCTGCAAGTAAAACTCATATGGTCAGCAATATTACGCCATTGACCGGGAGTATGACGCAAGTATCTGACGCAGTGAACCCTGGCCTGTCCTCCGCTCCACCTCTGCCCATTCACATGTCTGTGAGCGAGCTCCACTCGGCTCTACTCACGGCCCCACTGCCTAATCGCCTTAACACCGTCAGGGGGGCGGGGCGAAGCCTGACCGACACTTTCCACCTCTCCCCACCCACTCTCACTTACGCTCATTCCCAGGACTCTACTCTGCACACACTTTGGAACCCTCCATGGGCTGCTGCACGTATGGCCGCCCCGCTGTCCCCCAGGAGCGCTCCGGAGGTGGCCCGCGTCCATAGGGGAATGTCATGACTGGTCCCACGAGGAGCAGCCTTCACGCGGCCTTGGTTGTTCTCTCCGTGGCCCACCTCTCCGCAGGTGCGTCTCTCCAGTGTTCTTATTAATGAGTAACAGTGGCATGTGAGGGTTTTGTTTTACTGCGCCTGTGTTCGCCGGGGTTTGGAATAGCAGCATATAAAAAGTTAATAATTAAATGTATGGTCCGAGGTGCCTTCACAGACACCTGTTCACAGAAGATTGGACAAGCAGCTGACCATGTGGGCTTGTGTTGTTCTGTTGACAGATCAGCAGGAATTCTAATCATCTATAGTCTGTAATTCTCAGGCATATTTACTAAGATTTTATCTATGTATTGTAAATGTTATTAATCTGGTGTTCAGGCTGTGGCCTACTGTGACAATTAATGGGTCTTATTTGGTCATTTAGTCATGTTACTTGTAAACTAAATATAGTCTTTTTGTCTTATTGTGAAATATTTTGAAAGTTTGAAAAAATATATATTGATGATGATTATTTCTGCGGAAATTATTTATGAACAAGGTCCTACACTTCTTTAAATTGATTAAATGCACAAATGTTACAGGTCGCCATTTACAGTTTGTTTAGAGGCTAGAGAATATGCTTTATTAGGATTTAAATAATGAGAAGGACCATGGTGATAAACAATTCAAAACAATGTATTATATATGAAAATTCAAATGTTGCCTGTTCATATAAATGTGAGCTTCCTTCTCTCACTCATCTAGTTGGAAAGAAGGCTTTATTTTCATAATTTGTTCATAATATGTTTGTAGAGCACCTGGTTATTATAATGTGATTTCATTAACTTAATTGACCCAGTGACTCACTCCTCTAAATCTCACTCACAAAAGCGTATCATAATATCTTTTTAATGAGAAAAAATCCTCAAAATGTTGCTAAAAAACGGAAGCTGAAACCCAGGGCAGATTCAATGATTCCTCCTCATTATGCATTGGCTTGAATAGAGCAGTGATGCACCAGAAAGACACTTTCAGAACAGTATCCCACCACAATTTGTTATTCATATCACTACTTTGTGTATAATCAGTTCAAACTGCATGGCAATAGATTCATAACCGATAAAACACAAATGTTTAAGTGGACACATGGAAGATAACCCCTTCAATAAAATCACCATTAAACTTCCATTTGTTTAATGACTAAATACATTTTTCTTTTCATTTTAAAATATTTACGAACATGTAAACATTCAAACACACACACACACACACACACACACAGGTGCTGGGCAGAAACTAAGATACAGTGCCTTGGCGTGCAATATTATTCGGCCCCCTTGCGCTAATACTTTGTAGCGCCACCTTTTGCTGCAATTGCAGCTCCAAGTCGCTTGGGGTATGTCTCTATCAGTTTTGCACATCAAGAGACTGGAATTCATGCCCATTCTTCCTTGCAAAACAGCTCGAGCTCAGTGAGGTTGGATGGAGAGTGTTTGTGAACAGCAGTCTTCAGCTCTTTCCACAGATTCTCGATTGGATTCAGGTCTGGACTTTGACTTGGCCATTCTAACACCTGGATACGTCTATTTGTGAACCATTCCATTGTAGATTTGGCTTTATGTTTTGGATCATTGTCCGGTTGGAAGATAAATCTCCGTCCCAGTCTCAGGTCTTTTGCAGACTCCAACAGGTTTTCTTCCAGAATGGTCCTGTATTTGGCTCCATCCATCTTCCCATCAATTTTAGCCATCTTCCCTGTCCCTGCTGAAGAAAAGCAGGCCCAAACCATGATGCTGCCACCACCATGTTTGACAGTGGGGATGGTGTGTTCAGGGTGATGAGCTGTGTTGCTTTTACGCCAAACATATCGTTTTGCATTGTGACCAAAAAGTTCGATTTTGGTTTCATCTGACCAGAGCACCTTCTTCCACATGTTTGGTGTGTCTCCCAGGTGGCTTGTGGCAAACTTTAAATAAGACTTTTTATGGATATCTTTGAGAAATGGCTTTCTTCTTGCCACTCTTCCATAAAGGCCAGATTTGTGCAGTGCACGACTGATTGTTGTCCTATGGACAGACTCTCCCACCTCAGCTGAAGTTATCTGCAGTTCATCCAGAGTGATCATGGGCCTCTTGGCTGCATCTCTGATCAGTCTTCTCCTTGTTTGAGATGAAAGTTTGGAGGGACGGCCGGGTCTTGGTAGATTTGCAGTGGTCTGATACTCCTTCCATTTCAATATAATTGCTTGCACAGTGCTCCTTGAGATGTTTAAAGCTTGGGAAATCTTTTTGTATCCAAATCCGGCTTTAAGCTTCTCCACAACAGTATCTCGGACCTGCCTGGTGTGTTCCTTTATCTTCATGGTTCTCTCTGCGCTTTAAACAGAACCCTGAGACTATCAAAGAGCAGGTGCATTTATACGGAGACTTGATTACACACCGGTGCATTCTATTTATCATCATCAGTCATTTAGGACAACATTGGATCATTCAAAGATCCTCACTGAACTTCTGGAGTGAGTTTGCGGCACTGAAAGTAAAGGGGCCGAATAATATTGCACGCCCCACTTTTCAGTTTTTTATTTGTTAAAAAAGTTTAAATTATCCAATAAATTGTGTTCCACTTCACGATTGTGTCCCACTTGTTGTTGATTCATGACAAAAAATTTAAATTTTATATCTTTATGTTTGAAGCCTGAAATGTGGCAAAATGTTGAAAGGTTCAAGGGGGCCGAATACTTTCGCAAGGCACTGTAAGTGTCTTACCCATAGACTGTATAGACAAACGGACAGAGTCACGCCTATCTCCGCCGTTCTAACTAATGGGCCAAAAAATGTGGATAGCTCTACTGGAGCTATCCAAAATGGCCGCGAGTGGTCCCGCCCACAAGAAAATTGGGAAAAAGCGCATCTGCGCATGCGTCAGCCGGCGCAGCTCCATTCATTTGAACGAGAGACTTCAGAAATTCACAGCAAGTAAACTAGAGTGATCCAAAAAAAATCACTCCCCTCAGCATTGACACACATGTGGAACGGAGCTTTGGGCCAAGAGCCAACTTTCGGTCCATCCTGTAAAGATGTTTTTGAGAGGTCTGCCAATGCTATATGTTAGCATTGGCTAATTCTTCCTCTGGGTCCACCCCCATCGGCCCGGGGTGGTATTGCAAGCATGTCAGCGCACGTCATTTTGGCCACTTTTGAGCTGGGACCCACCCCCACTGGTCTTACCCAAGGACACAACGACAGCAGACTTCAGTTAGAGTGGGACTAGTAGAACAATGCTCTACCATTCGAGCCACTCTCGCCCCTAGCCCTAACCAGTCACAATTGTATTTGAACTAGTGTTACATCAAACGTAAAAAAAATCTTAGTTACTTCAATAATTATACAATTTTTTGTGTACCAGCTTGTCCATCATTGATTAAAGCCAAATCTAATGCCAGTATTGGTTTGACAAATCAAATTGCTGTGGCATATGGAGTCGAATGGTATGGAAATAGTGGACTCACATATAGACATGTACCTCCCTGATGTTCACAAGCTGCATACACAATCAGAGGCGACATCATCACAAACAAAAGTTTGTAAGATTAATACTATACACAATGATAAAGATTGTGATCAAAATTTTGACCAAATTAAAAACGAGTAAAAACATCAACGAGGCGTTCTTGGTGATTGACATATGTGTGGATCACCCGCTTAACCCCTTAAGACCCCAATCATTTCACCATGTTCTACAACAAAAGAAATTGGCCCTTGTCTCTTAACCCTTGTGTAGTGTTCATATTGTTGTTACTCAGCCAGTGTTCGTCGGTCTGATGGACCCGTTGCATTGTGTGGCTTTTAATGCCTCACAATCACACAATTATGTTAAAATACTGAACAGATGTTTACCTTATCCCAATTACAAGCAGTAAAAACAATATTTATGGTTAATACTTGTCCATGCTGTCTACCCCTCCTTTTGAGGCGTTGTAATCCATGATGATCTCTGGTTTGTGATGTTCCTGGTCACACATTCTTCCATCCTCGTTCTGTTACTCATTAGTACCACATTCTTGCCTTTCTTTGGCACATAGGATACCAGTAGTTTGCGTAAATGCTGTATGTGCTCAAACTGGATTCTGCATTCTCTGTGGCTGCAGCGTTCTGACCCGGGGCAGCTGTGGCTACTTTGTAGTAACAAGGCTACAATTATAGTGTCCCGCCTCCATTTTGTTGCCGATAAATTGTGAGAAAATAAAAGATTCAAGCAAGGTCAATTTCCACACTTCTATTGGGCCCGGGTCCAGTGGACCCCCGAACATCTTCTATGTAATAGAAATGTGTAGGGAGGGTGTACGGTGTGAATTCTGATATATGTTCTTCACAGAAAATGAGCCAAAGCCAGTGAGTCTCAGTAAATCATTAATTGTATCATTTTTCTTTTTGTAAAAAGTGAAAAGGGGTCCCACAGACCCGAACACCACACACGGGTTAAGTGAGTCTGCACATGCTGTGCTTTCTGGGAGAAGAAATTACGAGAGTATGACAGTATTGCCCAGGAATTATAGTCCTTAAAATAAATAACTTTATTTAACAGTATTTCTGTTTGTTTTAATTTTTCAAGTCCGATGGGATTTTATTTATCTATTTATTTGATAGGGAAAAGTGTACACAATCAGCATGTGAAAACACTACAACATTTATAGCCAAGGCTAGTTTGCAATGTCCGTCCCTAGGAGGGCTTTTAACACAATTAAAACACATGACACGATAGCACTGACAGAACAGATAAAGAGAGCAGTGTGTTTGTTCCTACATCCATGGTTCCTCACTCTGAGCCAAATTATGTTACCAAAAGAACAAAAAAATACAGAGGTTGTTGTTGAATGGTGTTTTGGAGATTGTTTTTTGAGCTATTCTGTGTGTTTTGCATGCTATTTGATGCTTTTACCGACTGGATTGGTCGGTATTGGTTGGTTTGGTTGGAACTGTCTCTTGCACTAAAAAGGTTGGGGATCATCTTTATCAAGTTTTTCTGGTCATACAAGTCAAGAAGTATAATTAACTTTTCAATGAGTTTATTTTAAGATTATCAGCTTACAGGAAAACAAGATAAATTCAGACAATAGAACACATATAACCTGGTAGAAAGCACAGACCAATAACAATCATATTTATTGATGTCACTGCGCAGCTCCGCCCGTGTCGAACATCTTCTTCCGGCCCTCCATCCCCGACATGGCCTCCACGTTCTTTCGCCAGTCTCCCACTTCAGACGTGAGCACCTTCAAGGGTAAAACATAAAATTAGAATGATTGACACAGAAACACAGAATTTACTCTTTTGTGCTTTTAACCATGATTGTTTTTAGATATACTCACAATATATATATATTCTTTATTTAACATTTATTTAACCAGGAAAGTCCCATTGAGATTAAGAACCTCTTTTTCAAGGGAGTCCTGGACTTGAAGTGTCTTTCCCGTTGTTATCTAAATGCTCCTATTTCAAACGTAGTATGTTGTGATCTTTTGAATCAGCATAGGAGAGCCAAGAGTTGATTAAAGTGAAAGGTATTGCAATAATCTACCGAAATAGTCAGTTTCCCACAAAATTTGTTGCCAATATATTTATACTATATTGTATTATTTGAACATTGAATGTAAAATTCACTGCACTGCAGATGCAAAAATAGGAAATTCAAAACTACCTTGTCCTGTTTGACGTCCTCCTTCTTGACGGACTTGAGGTTGGAGCGAAGATCCATGGAACCTTTGTGTTTGGAGCCCAGCAGAGCTCTCATCATCTCGTCTGCAGACACCCTCACCTTCCTCAGGGCGGGCTTCTTGAACTTACCCCCCAGGTCTTGCACTTTCAGCTTCAACTCATGGATCTGTTCAAGATAGAGAAAATCATGAATTTTGCTGCCGTACAAAAACCCTTGCCTTGCCTTAATAATTGTAGAAGTCTGTTCCATGAAAATGTAGGTTACTTTTCTATGTGCCAAGGGAAAGGTGCAGCTAAAATGCATGCATAAGCCCAGGATATAAAACATGCAAAGAAAACACTCACAAAATAAAAGTCCAGTCCTTGGCGGCCTTTCACTTTCTCACACTTCTGCAGTATGAATGAGTATCAAAAAGTCAAATGCATATGGATAAATACTTACATCTTTGTTATGCTTGTTGACTTTAGATTCACAGTCGTATCGCTCCTCATCCACCTCATCGATTCGGGCATGAAGCTGTTTACAGATGTTCTGGAAGTATAGGTTTGTTTTCACAATAATTAAAATGGGCCTGACATCTGTGAATTTAAAATCTGGAACCATTTTAATGCAATTTCAAAATAAAAAAATGTATAACTTTCTGATATGCCATCTGTACCCCTCCCTGATATTAACAAGTTAAAACTGTTCTATGCACATTGCACAGAGATGGACAAGCTTTATGTAGGCATATTCATGCACTAACAAACAAAATAAACAATGAATCGATAAATGGACAAGTTTAATGTCTTCCTGTGGATTGTGGTATATTAATACAATAAGGTTTGCCGTTACAAATTGTATATGTATTGGTTTAGCACTGATCAGTTCAATTTTGTACTAATGGACACCCTTAAAAAAGAGATGACTCATCTCAATTGTTAAGTTAAGTGTAGTTCTATTGATTTTAAAATTACCGAAACAAAATGTTTACTTTGTTCTCACAAGGTTTGTTTGCAGGAAAACTAAAACAAACGGTCTTGTGACTATACCAGATCTGTGCAGGAACATATTGCGATCATAATGGAAGTAAAACCTAAAGAAATCCACCTCTGCTAAACGGACCTGGTTCAAAAGAAATCACATAGTATTGACACGCATGAGGAACACTATCTGTGTTTTTAGGGTGCCATAAGGTTCCATTGTGTATTCCCACTTCTGCAGTTAGAACTACAGGCTGGAGCCAGACTGTAGCTGTGATTGGACTGCCACCCACTTGCAATGATCTCATCTCATGATATGTTAAAGAAGCATTTCATTCGACCCTAAAAATATGATCGCTTCTATCAAAGACACTAGCTTCTCATGTTGGTGAAAGCTAATGTATCAATAGGTCAAAATTAGGGTCACTGGGTGAAAAGCGTAGGGAACGCAGTGTTAAGAGATGGTTGTCTCACCTGTAGCTCGTCCAGGGACTTGCCAGACAGCTGCAGAGGTTGCATCTTCTCTCCCAGGTACGTCTTCTTGTCCTCCTCTCTCTGCTGCCTTTCATTCTGCAGGTCCTCTAAGGCTCTGGTCAAGAGGAGCATCTGAAAACACCATGCAAGCTGCACTCAAGCTGCAAGCTTTTCTTTAACACGACACATATATTGACACTTACTTTGAGGGAGAGCTTGCGAGAAGCTGAAATCTTGCACTTTGGCTGTGGATAGAAAAAGCATGTGCTTTTTGGCAGTTTATTGTACATTAAAACAATCATTTTTAGGACCTTAAAACAAAGGCTTGGACAAACCATTGGAGACAGGGAAGCCATCTTATCCATGACAATGTTGTTGGAAAAACAGGTGCTGCCTTAAAGCTATGGATCTATAATAAAATCTGGATAGGGTATTGTGAGATTTCATAACACTTTGAAGCAACTTTTGTTAAAGTTAAACTCATCATTCTATCAATGTGCAGAAGCCAGTACTTTTCCCTTGTTTTGAATTCTGAAGGCCAAGCTACATCACCGTGCACCGTGGAAGCTGCTGATTGGAGGTCTGCATTCCTCCATGCTGTATAATACACTTGCTGTCGTAACATCCCTTGGTGTGCTTTGTTCGTGCTGTCTCTACCATCGACAATAAAACATGTCTTCTGTCTGAATGAAAGACGCGATCCCAGACTTTTCCATCTTCTTCATGTGGTGGAGAATGTGGGTTTTTTTTAGAGAAAACTGAGAAACCTCGAGAGAAACCATGCATCTGGACAAGCACACTTGGACAATCTGCACAGCCCCTGATTCCACTCAGGCTGTGAGCTGCTGAGACATGGACAATACCATCGTCCTCTTTTGCATGGACATAATTTGGAACAATTGGATTTCTGAATTTGGACATAATTTGCACCGAATTGGATTGCTGAATCTGGACACTGAAGCTGAAACGTGTGATTGAAAGACACGTCACAGAAGAATTCATGGCTCAACACAACAAATGCAGCCTGAAGAAACCAACACAAAAAGTGGGAGAGACTGTTTTCAATGAAATAACTGGAACCACCATCGACTGATGAAGTTTGGTATTTTACTGAAGATTGTTGACAAGTTTTATGAAAGATCTAAACATGTTTTATGAGTTTTATGAGTTTTTGAAGTACCGAGTGAAGTACCGAGTGAAGTACCGAGTTTAAGTATTGAGTTGTGATGTTATGTTGCTGTTTATCGATCCTGATGGTCACACGTGAATGTGTGACCAGAGGGGGGAATGTGAGATTTCATAACACTTTTAAGCAACTTTTGTTAAAGTTAAACTCATCATTCTATCAATGTGCAGAAGTACTTTTCCCTTGTTTTGACTTCTGAAGGCCAAGCTACATCACCGTGCACCGTGGAAGCTGCTGATTGGAGGACTGCATTCCTCCAAGCTGTATAATACACTTGCTGTCGTAACATCCCTTGGTGTGCTTGTTCGTGCTGTCTCTACCATCGACAATAAAACATGTCTTCTGTCTGAATAAAAGGCGCAATCCCAGACTTTGCCATCTTCTTCCGTATTACTAACTTTAGCCTGTCTCTAATACATGCCACCAGCAGAACTGAAGCCAAAATTCTCATGGGCTGAAAGAGAGAGGAGGGGCTTAGAGGGCGCTTTCAGCTTTCACAGTGGTCAGAATTTGCAGGTGAAGTCAGAGAAGAAGAAGGTTGTAGCCAGTGTACATTACTTCCTCGCTCCTTATAGGCAAAGTGGGTAAGGTGTCTTGCCCAAGGACACAACAACAGCGCAGACAACAGTAGGAGTCGGTGGACAAGGTCCCGCGGTGGGCTCGAACCCACCCACCTTCAGTTTCAAAGTCCAACTACCAACTGAGCCACTGTTGCCCCAAACAATAGACTATTAAGATTGACATTGCTAACCCATCCATAAATAGTTTAGCGCCCTCTGATCCTGTTGTTACATTGTGATATTGTCTTTGTGAATACAGATATGAACAACCAACCAATCTGGAGCCTTTGTTGCAGAATTCGACTTCAGCTAGCGAGAAGCATGAGAGGGGACAGACACTGCTCCTGATTGCTGCTGATCGCCCTTTGCCACCAACAATATTCACATAAACGTCCTGCAATAATAGCCTGTCCAAGCTTGCTAGCTTAATCAGCCTATTCTAGACTAGACTCTAGAAATAGACTAGAAAAAACTTGGAAGACTGAATGTCAATTATCAATGTTCTTTTACTAGTCAAATTAGTTGTCTCGTCCAGTCCAGCCTACTGATTGAAACAACAATGATAGACTGACAAAGCTTTAAACATTTATTGCTCAACACAATAGCAATGCCTCGTGTTGTAACAGCCCTACTTACTGTATATGTGCTTAAACAAAGAATCTCTTACCCCGTTGTTGTTAATGTTGCTTGTGACAATTTTCTTGTAGGTTATACCAGTACTTTTAAATGGTCTCTTGTTACTGAGTGTTGTAAATAAGTAGGTTATAGCCTCAACAGTTGTGCCAAATCTCTAAACAGTAACGCTTTTCACTGAGTACATTGGTTGTCATTTTGACCAAACAATGTCATTTATGGTGAAAAGGTCGTGCTCATGGGCACAACGGCATTATGCACAAGTAAGGCACGGTAATGAAGAAACCAATGGTACTGGCCGGAGGGAAAATTATTGAAGCAATGGTTTCTTGAATGCAGAAAGCTAGAAATTACTGAGACATACAAGAATCAGTCAAAAGCAACGTAGATTGCGTAAATTAAAAAGTTAAACTATCAGAACAAATCTACTCTTGACATTTGCTATAGAAGGAGAGGTTCCACAGGTCTTTCCTTCCGGCTGCTGTCAGACTGTACAAAGAGAACAGCTGAGTCCATAAATGTGCCATTCATCTGTTCTAATAATCCATGAGTCACTTTGCATGTCGCTAGTCACTTTACTTGCTATATCAGTACAACATAATTACACATTTCATTCATCTGATAATTCTATTCTGATAATTCACTAGTCACTTTACCTGCTGCTTTTATTACTATTGTTTATTCAGCTAATGTACAATATAAACTGTTTTTTTTTTTAAAAAAACATCTAAAGTACAATATAAACAGTATCAGGGAAATTACTTTTAAAAAGTAACTTTTCTTGAAACTCTCTAAAGAAAGTAACTTCTTTACTTTACTTTTGTGTCACTTTTGTGTTATTGTTATTAAGCTCAGCTTAGAGCAGAATTGTTCCTAAATGTGTTTAAACTCTGAGCCTCATTTACTTGAGTACCTCAGCGTCTGCGCTCCTCATCAAAAGAAAAAAAAAGTGTTATACTTTACCCACCAAGTGGCAGGTAAAGTGCGACACTCCGCAACACTCCGCGATGAGTTGCCTAGCGGCCACATACCATATGTCACATACCATGTGGAATGAGAACTTAATGTCCGTGAGTCATGACTGAGACATTGAAAAAGAATAACAGCGTGACTGTATTGTTGATAGTTAATGAGTTACTTTACTTTTCCCCAGAAAAAGTAGTTTTGTTAGTGTAACGCGTTGCACCCAACACTGATAATGTGATGGATGGAGGTGTGCCACATGAATCCTTATTTTGTCTTTTTATTGCGCTGTAATATACGCAACGATGACATTGACATTTCCCCACTATGGGACGACTAAAGGCTTATCTTATCTTAACCTGAATCCTGTTCTAGACCTCACTTCTAATCTCCAAATAGTTAAGTATAAGTATGATGCCAGCAGTGCACTCTGGGACGAGTCTCCAGGCTGAAAGAACCCTCACATAGGCAGGCTGCCAAACAACCACAAGACAACCGGTCTATCACACCATTGCTTCCCTCTCTCATAGTGGTTTCTTGAACTGGTGCATGCCTCCCCTTATACAGTATAAGCTCTCAGCTCCTGCTTTTGTCAGTTGCACACGGCTCTGCACCCGTCAGAAGATAATGCTTTATAATTAGTCTAAGGTCAAGGAGAAAGTGCTTGACTGATGATAACAGCTCTTGTTCTGTGCCAGGACTGTCCTGAGTGAAAGGGGACACACTGTACCCATGCACTGTCCAGGGTGAGGATAAACCCACCTTATCCCCCTTTACATTCATGGCTGCTGGCTGGTGCGGTTCCTGGAACGACAAACATTATGGAACCAATACGTCATTTGGTTGTTGACTATTACAAAATTCTGTTATAAAGTAAAATGTTGTCCAACTTCAATTATTGTTATTCTTGAGTGTGTATATTATTACTATGTACACTGGACAAATGTGATGTACTACTGCCACTGTCATGTTTTTATTTTAAACTTTTTAGTAAAAAGAACCAATTCCATGGAAGTCATGAATGAAACAACATCGAAGTTTCCCCACTGTGGGACGAATAAAGAAACACTCATCTTATATTAAACCATATTTTATCACTAGACAAAATATTGTTATAGCCCCAATATTTTTGTTGGGCTAAAACAATGCCATATTATACATGCTATATTATATATGTTATACATGCTTTATCACTTATACACAATATATTTTGTTTAATATGTTTTTAACAACAACACATTTTAGATGTGATTTTACTAAAATGTAATACTATCTTGTTAGGATTTTGAAAAGGATTAAGTTTTAAAGAAATTATCTTTTTGTAAAGAGTCTGAAAATTATACACACACAGATTGATAAACGGTTCCATCCATGTTTTAAAAGTCAATGATCTTAGACTTACCCTATGCAGTGATCTGTGAAAAGTGGGATTCAAACAGCAGTGATGGGGGAAAATGGGCAGCTTTTATGAGCGATGGGGGCGATGTGTCTGCTCTGGTCCCCTCCCCTCAGACCAACACACATAGAGAGTGCTGCTGCGTAATAAATGTGTGCTGGGGCCATGGTGAAGTCATCTTTCACTGTGGGCCAATGTGCTCATGTCATGGATAGGAGAAAAACAGCTTTAGAATAAAATACTGTTTTTCATTGAGTAATAATTGTACAAGGGTTCAACCTATAGACTTCCTTATAATCTCAATGTGAACAAATACATTCTTACAAGATGTCTCCAATTATGTAACTGGTAACTCTACAAATATTTATTCCTTACATTTGATCATCTGAAAAGGTGGGTTGTTGAAATCAAAAACAGAAATACAGCCAATGTTGCTGCAATATTTCAGCACCTACAATGTTAATAAAAATATAAGATAAACCTTTATTAGTCTCACAGTGGAGAAATTTCAGAAAGTGAATGCATAGTTTGATTACGTCACCTAAAAGGCCCAACCAGGGCTAAACTAATATCTAATACCAGTATTGTATTGGTGCATCCCTAGTCCCAGGATTGTAACCAGACTAAATGAAGTCTAAACTGTTAACTATGACTAGCACAGGAAGTAATCAGATCTGTACTGTCTTAGAGCGTTTTGTTGTTGAGAACTAAGTAAAAACAGAAGCACACATCAATAAGAACCTAATCAAATTGATCAAATGAATACATGCTTTGCCCAGCCCTTTAACCCTAAGCCACTATTCATTCACAGTGTCTTGAATGAACGTGTGTAAAGGGGGTTAAGCTGGAGTTTTACCAGTCTCTGTAATTATTTGTTCCCTATGTCTCAACACACACCCTGAAACAACTAAAGTTTATCTGCACATATGACATAAAAGTGTTAGTGGCACATTAGTAAATAGTGATGACTGAATAAAGCAGAAACACATTGCTCCAGGCCACACCCAGAGCCTGAGCCATAACAATAGAGTTACATCACATCATATTATTAGTTTATGGGCCTCACAGCTGCGTAAGAACAGCAGCTTTGCCATAAAACACGAGACTGTGGCATCTTGCTTTGTCTATTAAACAATAACTAATCCCTTCCACCACTGCACTGTTTTAGAAAAGATATGTTACATTTCAATCATTATCTACAATTTTCAGGAAATACAAGTTTAAAGGTAGGGGAATAGATATTGGAAATAACCACCCTCCTCAGAGGAAACAATCAGAAGACCCAATAAGAGGATCTTGGAGTGATGTCGTTGTTTATAGTTTTTCCAGATTTTTTTTTGTTCTAATTCTTTCGGAAAAGAACAGAATAAAACCTTTTATGCTGTTACCTACGGTAAAGGTAGAACGGGAAGCCGGGGGATGATGGGATAAAAATTAATGAACAAATTTAAGTTTTGCAACTACTTTCAATGTGCACTCATTCACAAGTGATGATTAATTTTAAACATTGTTTTTTGGTTTCTCATCCTCGCGGCTTCCTGTTCCACGTTTACCGCAAGTAACAGCAAAAAGGGGCAACCCGCTTTTAATGTGCTGACCAGTTTACCGCAACGGCGAAATGCTGGGCCACTTTACCGCGCTGAAAAACGTGAGAAATTGATTTTCACCACGGGCCCTTCTTGAGTGAAGGGTCCCGGGTTTTCTATGAAGTTAGAATAAATGTCCCTGAGTCCCAGTCCCAGCAGATCGGTGCCAAGACAGAGGTGAGTCTGAGCAATGTTTCATCTCGTCATCCCAGGTCTCATCTGGGCTTTGAATTTGTTCAGTTCGGTCTCATACACTTATTTTTAGCTTGTCTTTATATCTCCTCTGATCTTCTTGCGTTAAAGTGCTTATATACAGTGCTATTCGCCCACTGAGTCATTTAAAAGTACTCGTCGCATCCATGCTTCAGTATGTGCCGCTCTGTCTTTGTGCCACCCAGCGAGGGGCGCATGCGCAGGCAGGTTTAAGATCCTCCTATAGTCTAGATCAGGGGTGTCAAACTCATTTTGGTCTGGGGGCCAAATACAACCTAATTGGATCTCAAGTGGGCCGGACCAGAAGATGCCCTACAAAAATACCCAAAAACGGTACAAGGTCCAACTTTTTGTGCACATAAACATTTATATAAAACTTCCTTTCCTTTAATACTCGCGCAGTTTTAACTGTAAATCTGTTACAAACTTAAATGTAACAATGAGTTTTTTTGTGTGCAAATAATGTAATGTATTTACAATATTACATTGTTAATGGCATTTCACAATATTTATATTAATAAATATATGTTAGCTTTGTTTTAAGGCTCATTACAGAGAAAACCTGCTCACAAAGGTAAAGTAGGTAGATAGAAAAAAGCACTTTAACACAGCACATCATTATCATCAGAGAGAAAGCATCAAACTGACCATGATTCAGTTGAAATGAACAAAACAACTTCCATGACGTGATCCATTCTTAACGACTGCAGCAGTGTCTCTGTGTAAAATACACTTAAATGTCCAAAAATCATTACCGCCATTTGCGGCTTTGTCACAACACCTGCTTTTACCGTCGGTACCAGGAGGCGTCCAGGAGGTATCCGGAACAGATGCCCGAGCCACCTCAACTGGTTCCTCTCGACGTGGAGAAGCAGCGGCTCTACTCCGAGCTCCTCCCGTGTGACTGAGCTCCTCACCCTATCTCTAAGGGAGCGCCCAGCCACTCTGCGGAGGAAGCTCATTTCGACCGCTTGTATCCGCGATCTCGTTCTTTCGGTCATTACCCAAAGCTCATGACCATAGGTGAGGGAGGGAACGAAGATTGACCGGTAAATCGAGAGCTTTGCCTTTCGGCTCAGCTCCCTCTTCACCACAACGGTCCGATACAGCGACCGCATAACTGCGCACGCTGCACCGATCCGCCTGTCAATCTCACGCTCCATTCTTCCCTCACTCGTGAACAAGACCCCGAGATACTTGAACTCCTCCACTTGAGGAAGGACCTCTCCACCCACCTGCAGAGGGCAAGGCACCTTTTTCCGGTCGAGCACCATGGCCTCGGATTTGGAGGTGCTGATTCTCATCCCAGCCGCTTCACACTCGGCTGCAAACCGCCCCAGTGCATGCTGCAGGTCCTGGTTCGTTGGAGCCAACAGGACAACATCGTCCGCAAACAGCAGAGATGAAATCCTGTGGTCTCCGAACCGGACCCCCTCCGACCCCTAGATATTCTGTCCATAAATACAGTGAACAGAACCGGTGACAAAGGGCAGCCCTGTCGGAGGCCAACATTCACCGGGAACAGGTCTGACTTACTGCCGGCAATGCGAACACAGCTCTGGCTCCGGTCATACAGGGACCGGATGGCCCTCAGCAGAGGACCTCCGACCCCGTACTCCCGGAGAACCCCCCAAAGGACACCCCGGGGAACACAGTCGAACGCCTTCTCCAAATCCACAAAGCACATGTGGACAGGTTGGGCGAACTCCCATGAACCCTGGAGTATCCGATGGAGAGTATAGAGCTGGTCCAGTGTTCCGCGACCGGGACGAAAACCACACTGCTCCTCCTGGATCCGAGATTCGACCATCGGCCGTAACCTCCTCTCCAGTACCTTGGAGTAGACCTTACCGGGGAGGCTGAGGAGTGTGATCCCACGATAATTGGAACACACCCTCCGGTCCCCCTTCTTGTAGAGAGGGACCACCACCCCGGTCTGCCACTCCATTGGCACTGCCCCCGATCGCCACGCGATGTTGCAGAGACGTGTCAGCCAAGACAGTCCTACAACATCCAGAGACTTTAGATAGTCAGGGCGGATCTCATCCACACCCGGAGACCTTGGTGACCTCAGCCAGGGAGATGGATGTACCCGCCCCAACATCCTCAGCCTCTGCCTCTGTAACGGAGGACGTGACGGGGGGATTGAGGAGAACCTCAAAGTATTCCTTCCACCGCCCGACAATATCCCCAGTCGAGGTCAGCAGCTCTCCACACGCACCGTACATGGTGTTGGCAAAGAACTGCTTCCCCCTCCTGAGGCGTCGGATGGTTTGCCAGAATCTCTTCGAGGCCGACCGATAGTCATGCTCCATGGACTCTCCGAACTCCTCCCAGTCCCGGGTTTTTGCCTCTGCAACAGCCCGGGCCGCGGCACGCTTGGCCTGCCGGTACTGGACAGCTGCCTCAGGAGTCCCCCGAACCATCATGGCTCGATAGGACTCCTTCTTCAGCCTGACAGCATCCCTTACTGCCGGTGTCCACCACCGGGTTCGGGGGTTGCCGCCGGGACCAGCACCAGAGACCTTGCGACCACACTGTTCAATCCATTATTCGGAAATGGAAAGAAAGTGGCACCACTGTGACCATGCCAAGACATGGCTGTCCACCTAAACAAATAGATCAAACAAAGAGAGCACTGGCCAGAAAGGCAACCAAGTCCCCCAAGATGACTCTGAGGAACTGCAAATCTGGTCTGTAAGTGGCAAGAAGAAAGCCATTATTGAAAGTAGGCCATGAGAAATCCTGTTTTAAGTTTGCCAGAAGTCATATGGGGGACCGCTTTTCTCTAAATCCAATAGAAAATCTGTGGAAAGACCTGAAAACTGCAGTCCATCTAATTTGACAGAGCTCAAGTTGTTTTGTGTAGAGGAATGGGCAAAACTCTCTGTGTACAAATCTTGTAGAATCATACCCCAATAAACTTGGGTGAGGTCTCTCACCTCACCTTCCGTGGATGGTTTATTTGGTTGGGAAAGTGCATCTTAATGAACACACCTCTCCAAATTGTAGCTTTGAGCTAATTTCCATCTGATGTCCCACATTCGTAATCACAAACACTCCCCTGAACAATTGAACATGTTTTTAGTGGTAGGGGAAACCAGAGCACCCTCACTAACTTCTCTCGGAGCCCTTGGTATTTCTCAAGCTTCTCAAATCCATTTTTTCCCTGATGTATGCATCGGTTGGAATTGCCACGTCCACCACCACGGCTTTCCTCTGCTCTTTGCCTACCACCACAATGTCAGGTTGATTCGCCATTACCATCTTCTCAGTCTGTATCTGGAAGTCCCACAGGATCTTTGCACGCTCATTCTCCACCTGTCACGGATAAACAAGGTAGGACTCAAAAGCAGAACTCCAAAAAA